AATTTCTGCTCAATACATTGTCTACTTAGGTTGTACTATGATAGAAAGAACAAACACAGTCTGTTCTAAATCCTGATGCCACTTATATTTATTACTAAATTATCAGAATCTACCGCATTATATTCTAGCATATATCTGAGATATGGACCCAAGATGCTACCAATTCACACTAAAAGCTTTTCATATTTTCTCAGAGAAGTAAAAACTGAGCAGTGTTCCAGATGTTTGAGATATCTTCTTATCCACAGAATGATGCACCACAGTGCTTTAACTTGAATTGATCATACCTTTTCAACCTTTAGAGTGTAATTCAAAATACATTTCTGTATTTTATAACTCATTATGTTTCTCTGACACACTACACAATTAAACAATGTGAACAGAAGTTTTCATAAAATCACACATTTTAGACATTATTATGCACAATAACTTATGACCTTTTTGTACATTATACATGAAGTTCTATAAAATAAATTCCATATTTTACCTTATTTACGTAAGTTTACCTTATTTTTCTCTTTTTAAGGACTCATCCCAGAAGACATGCAGACAATGTTAACTATGCAGTTAGAATCTACTTGTTTTTACCTCTTTTTTCTTACAATCTAGCAACTATTAAATTTCAAAAATAATACAGTTCAGATTTTGCTACCAATAAAAAATAAGACAGTTAGAAACTGCTACTCTAGGTGCCTGTTCCTATTTTAGACAATTCTCTGTATTTTTTGGTAAGACCAGGCTGTCTACAATTACCATTTGCACATACATCACAATTAAGTCTTAGATGAAGAGTTCTCTGTTCTTATAGCAGAAACACCTCATCCTCATCACTTTTTTCAAGATTCATGGCAAAGAAACTGTGATTGCTTAGAAGTAAATGCAGACTTCCAAAGGACATTAAAACCTTCAGCATGAGAAGATTTAAAAGGAGATCTTATTCATTCTTTATTCACCATTTGAAACTAATAAAAACTATTGTCCCTAAAGCCAGATTGTACACACTGACTTCATTGCAACTACTCTAAAAAGACTACTTCATCTACATGAGTGATCTTCAATACTGTAGCTAAAAGATGCCACTTAAAATTTTCGCAAGGAAAAGCTTGAATCTTGTCCACAGCTATTGTATACATTTAAGAAACTTCCCTTATTTATTTGGTTCTTTCCTAGGCCTAACAATCTCTTTGAAGTTCATTTCAACAAGAGAAGTAAAATTTCCACATTAGCAAAGCAGACACTTGAAATAACATCTATTTCATTTAAAGCCAAATTCATCAAGCTATACCCAACAAACTGCATCCAGTGACAGGACAATTGCAATTCAGCAATTTTATTTCTAGCAACACAGGTTTGGCCTACATGCCTGCTTCTAACTGTTGGTGGATGGCTTTGCAGGAAGATTCTGCATCATAAACTTTGCATCATACAATAAATGCACACCTCACCACATAATGCTGGATCTAAAAGGAAAAAAAAAAACAAAACCTTAGAATACTTGTAACAGGTCCTTGTATTTGCAGTCAGAAGAACTGATTGTCATTGTTTTATCTTGCACACCTGCAGAAGCTTACAAAGGTCTGGAAAAGTTTTCCATCTCACAATCCATAAGTATGCATATTTTCATATTTTCTCACACTCCTCCTTACCAATTCTACAGACCATCTTTAAATTTTTGCTAACTTCATTAATCTCCTTATAAAGCAGGGAAAATCTTGCAAACCATTCCAAGGCCCTAGATGCAAACAGCCATTAAGAAAGTAGAAGTGCTGCCTTACACAAGCAGTTCCACTTAGAAACCATACAAGGAAAGTGTTCCACCTGTAGCTGAGATCACATTGCTGATGAGCATCTGAGAGATCTTCTGGGTGGGCACTGACAACCAGGCACAGCAGCTTCAGTAGGCATAAAACACATGCAAACGCAGCACACTGACAAGCTGCAGGGCACGCCGAAGATGCCATAGGTCTCCCTATTTCCTCTTTATCCTCTTTCTCTCTCTGTGATTCTGAGAACAATCACAGCAGCTATATATGTATCCATCCAATACACTATTGTAGACCTATGTAATGTGCGCATCCTCTGCATTTGCTCTGGATTTATAGTCCACCTGGCCCACAGCCTGCTACTGCTGCCTAGTAAAGTCTCATTGGAAAAACACAGATTGCTAATTGAGTTGAGGCATCTAGTTCAGTTTCACTTGCTTGACTGAAAACATCTCTGCATTTGCCCTTCTTTGTAACATGCCGTGTCAGTATTTTTATTAAATATTTAAGTGCTTCGCAAGATCAAAATGTAAATTGTTCTTCTTTTTCATTTTGGTTCTCATTTGTTTGTTTGTTTGTTTGTTTGTTTGTTTTTGGTTTGGGCTTTTTGGTTTTTTGTTTTGTTTTGATTTTTTTTCCCAATTTCTCTAATACATTAATCAAACTTCTTTGCTATCTTACTCTCAACAATTCTAAACACATTTTTCCTTTTGGTGTAATCTGAGTATGTGTAAAGATACCTCTCTTTTCCATCAGTGTGCATTTGTACTGTTTAAAAGATGTCACTTGACCCCAGTGACTCAAGACAGAAGTAGTTAAAATTTCAATCACCAACACAATTTGATGCCACCAGCAGACTGCACAAAGTCCCCTTCCCAGGCTGGAGTACCAGGCAGAATTCAGCCTGAGCACCCCCATTTCCATTGCACAGAAAGCAATTCCTGAGGCAGAAGTGGGAAGATAGGGTTTTTGCTTCACAGCAATCAAGACACCAAAGTAGGCTTCCTTGTGCCACCAGTTCCACAAAGCCAATATTAACCCTTCAGTTGTCTGTGTATCTACTCTTGTATTCACAAGTATTTCTATTTATTCCCCCTTCCATCCTTTTTAATAGGGACCTTACCCAAAAACAAACACTCAGCAGTATTTGGCATTGATCACACTAATCCATTGCATTTGCTGCTTCAGACGCTAGGGAATTACATTTACCTCTTAAAACCAAAAATATGGTTTTATTTTACTACATCCATTCAACAATTACCTTTATGTGTCTTTTAATTAGATCATCGATTGCTTCTATTGAAATAAAAATCACTAGGTCTGTCCTTTAAGGATTTTATATTTTCCACAACAAATATTAATTAGTTACTGTACAAGTTTCAGAAGAGTAATTGGTTTTAAAGAATGATATTCAAGACCTGTAAGCTTTTTGATATTACAGGTTAGATTAGAAGAGAGTTCATTATTATATTTACTGTACCATACTTCATATTCCTCAGGTCCTTTATAAAAACAAAACATAACAAAACAAAACACAAGCCTCAAAAAACCCAGAGTAATTCCAACATCTGACTTCTTCTCATTGCTCCATGTTTTTTTTTGTCTCAAATATTATTTAAATTTAATTAGTGGTTAAGCTTTCTATTGTTTTACCTATCATACGACAGCAGCCACTTGGCTTGTTTTTTTTAAGAATGCTTTCTGTCTCTGAAGATGTTTATCCTAAATTCATTACCATGACATCCTGATTGGAGCCTTTGCTCTTCCAAAGCAGCTGCAGAATTTATAATCACTAAAAAACCTAATCAGAGACATGAAGATATCATCCATACATTTTACAAGTCTGACAGTTGTGAAAAAGAGATGCCAATGTGGGTAAATGGTATGTATAAATCCATACTTGAGTTTTCCATTGAAGCAGTGGAAGTGACTTTGTATGAGGGTTCTGTCCTCATTCTGCAATCTCTGCCCTGCAAGGTGGCAATAAACACTGCTTCTCTACCCCTTTTCCCAGTGAATTTATGACCACATATAATTTTCTCTGGCATCAATATCCAACACAGAAAGGAGGAAAGGCAAATACCCCAGAAGATGGCAGATTTGAGCTCAGCCAACAGCCTTTAAAAAAAGCCCTGTGAGTCATTCCTCTGCTTTTAGCCTGTACCTTTCAACTCCACTGCAAACTCTGTATTTAAGGAGATATGCATTTACTGCCCTTTGCAAAATATACTAGAAATCTTTATCAGTCTTTAACAATAAAGGTCAATAAACTGAAACCTATCAGGTTTTATAAACAAATATTCTATTGACCTATCTGCTCAACAGGGGCAATGCTTTGATACCATTTGCTTTCAGCCATAATCTCAATATAGCAGTTTTAGCAAAGGCAGATATTGGGATTGCATTGCTTATAATCAATGGCAAAAATTCAGAAGCAAGTTTGTATCTTATTGTTGCATACAATACATATATGACATTCATTCACAGGGACATTTACACAGAAGTTGGTACAAATAAGAGTCCAGAATTTGTTTACATCTAATTTACTGTAGACATGCCTAAATTTTCCCAGCATTACAATACATTGCCTTACTCCCAGCCTAACTTTGACCAAATGGTGCAGTACAAAAAATTAAAACCAGGCATGAAATACAATTTATAAATATATATTGAACATACATGACCTAACAACTGCTGCATGGCATCAATGGTAGCAAAAGGTCTTACTGTGCAAATTGCATAACATAATTCCTCTTAAAGCAACGGACTGCTATGAATAATATGTTATTCGACTTGTAAGAAATAAAGTAGAAAACTATCCTCCAACAAAAGAATTTTAAGAGTTTAGCTACCATTATGTCTCTTTGTGATTAATTTTAAGAAAAAAAATTCGTAACTGAAGATCCATTATTAATACTGCTCCAATTACACATGCCCAAAGATGATATGATACCTTAACATTTAATGGAAGATTTTACTGAGATTTCTGAAGCCATGAATTATGTCAGGGTGAAAATTGTTTCTCCATATTTCATTACACAGCTAGTAAATTTTTGCCTGAAGAAGAAAACTCCATTGCATTAGTAGGAATGAAAGACTATGGGTATTGGCTGATTAAGTATACAATAAACAAGACAGGAGATAAATATTTCTTTATGACTACCAAAAGTTTTGGGCTTAATTTCAAATTAATTGACAGCAAACAAAATCTCATATTCAATTAACAAATTCACTTACCATGATTCCAGTAAGTAAACAGACCCCTTTTCCACAGTATGTATTTGGTACCATATCCCCATATCCAATGGATAGAAAAGTTATTGAAATCAACCACATTGCTCCAAGGAAATTGCTAGTAACATCCTGTTGATCATGGTATCTGAAAAGAAGAAAACAATTTCTTTACTATGAAAACATTTGTTAAACTATTGTTCTCTCATTAAAAAAAAATGCATTAACTGGTCCATACAACCATTTTTGTATACAATCTCATTTTAAAAACAGCTGTAAGTAAATAAATATAATTCAAATACAATTAAATGAGCAGCAATGAATCAGAAGGTATGAAAATAATACCAGTAGTAGAAATGGTTTATAATTCAGTATTTGGTTATTATGGTGAAGTGGCAGAAATCTCTTTGTTTTTAACATAATCTCTTCACCAAGGGTACAAGTCCTGGTAATAATCTGCAGTAGCATAAGACACCAGAATACCACAATTGCTGTGGTCTGAGGCAAATATGAGAGTCAGAACAGGTTGTGTGCACAACCAGACAGCAGAGTACATCTTCACCTCCTTGGCCTGAATGCAACTTTATGATCAGAAATACAATCCTAAACTAACAAATGCTGACTTAGACAACATATGGTCTTCCCTCTCCTTCTACAAGTACAAGGTAAATAAAAAAGTATGCCATTGTATTTCTCATCATCAAAAGATGTTTACCTTAAATATAGCAAAAAATCCCTTTAGTGTTTAGTCAGCTATAATGTGAAATTTCATGATGTGACATTTCTCGACTTAGTTACAGTATTATAGTAGAATATGTTCATATTTCCCTTCCAAAACCTGCCAAGTTCAGATTAATAATCTTATCTTTACATTACATACATACCAAATAGAAGGTGAAGATACATTTTACATTTAAAAACCTGTTGTCACCACCCATCCTATGGTGGGAAAAAAGATGCCTAATAGGATAAAGTAGGGTGGAATTTTGCTTCCTGGACAGGCCAGCTTTGCCATAGAGATCTGCAGCTACTGCAGACTCAAGGTTGCAATCACCCCTGCAGCTGCTGTGAAGCCTTAGGTTAACCAAATGCTGTTAGATTCCCCAAAAGTATTATTTTAGCCAGTCCGTAAATCTGTGTCTCACAGAGGGTCACACAGGGTCATTTAATTTATTCACAAATCCATAAACAACCTGCTTCCCACAACTGAAATAACTGTTTCTGTTCCTTCCTTTCTGGACTGCATTCTCTGTGACAGACCAAGAATGCAAAGCAAGCACACAGGAAATTTCCTGTTCTCACACTTTTAAGATATTCACCATAAATTTCTGCAAAATACTGTCTTCAAAGTCCCACCTATGTTCTGATGCTTACTACAATATAAAACTCTGACTACCAGAAACCACAGCAATCACTCTGATCAAGTCTGTTCCACACTTCCTCTGGATTTCCTCTCTCCTGGTGCCAGTGTTGTCTCTCATATACTTTATGCAAGTTTTTCTGTTTTGCCTAGAACAAAACCTAGAAAAATGTAGTACAAGCCCACATTGGGAGGTCCTGAGGACATAAACAATGATAACCACAACAGCAAAAAGAGTAAAAATGACCACAGAGCTTTGCATATAGCAAAACACAATCTGACATTGTTTATTTTTCTAGACTGCTCTAAATGTTAGGGATTTTAGTCTCCACTTTACAAAAGTAGCAAGTAACAGCCCTGAAATAAATATATGGATACAGAGAGAGAAACACAGTTGTCCCATCCAGGAGGCAAGAAGAAAGCCTGCGTACCTATCATGCTAATCCCTACAGAGTACCAAGTAAGAGATATGATCCATAGGGTCTGGATGAGCTTCACAGAAGGGTACTAAAGTTACAACACCTTCTAACGTTAGCATTTCAGGCAAATATTAATAAATGCCCACATAAATATTTAAAATACATTTCTTTAATGTCTCCCTTTGGATTTTGAACCAAAAACCATGTTTCATATGACTGAAAACAGAACATTCAAAGACAACTCACTAAATTCCAGAAATAAATAATGCATAAGGAATATCAAAACTACTTTCTTAAGTCTCGAACGACATGGGGAAGGGATAATGGGAGCCTTTATCCACTTATCCTCCTTTACCCATGTAAGAAAACATACAAGCCAACCTACACATAAGTTCTTTAAAAAAGTTGACATAAATTTTAAAAGACACAGCAGAAGTCTTTCAAGTTTTATTTGAGACATGGAGACAATAAAGGTTCCCTAGATTAACTATTAAAGCCACGTATATCAATATTTGGTAGCACAATTCAAGGACCTGTTTAAATGTTTCCATCTTGTCAGGTCAGGCTTCCTGGATTTCCTACTCAGGGGATTTCACCTAGTTATGACTGTAAGGCTATACCTCAGCAATCAAATGTTGTATGCTTAATTCAAAAATCATCACCAGTACTTATTAATGAATTTACTGTCATTAAGAAACAAAGGCCATTTCATGTCCTCCCTATTGCTGCAACTGCTCAAGCACAGTAAAGCACGTGAATTACATAATTTTTCTATTTTAATATTAAAAAAAAACCAACAACCTTATTCTCTTGAAACTGTACATGGAGAGTTGAAGGACTGACTTCTCAGGTTAAAAATCTGTAAGTACAATGAAGACAGTATAAAAGAGTATCCATGATAAGAGTATCCTATAATTTCTTTGCCACATTTTTAAGAAGGTGGTTTAATCTTGTCTCATGTATTTTGTAATCTCACTTCAGATTGTTGAATCTCTGTGGTTAGCAGTTCTGGTACTTGTCCACATGCTTTGGATTTTTATAAGATTACATCTGTGTCAGCATAAATTTCCTGTACTTTCCTTAGTACTTTACTAAGTCACTAGTCACCACTATCACCTGGGACTCAAGCCTGAACCAGCAAAGCCAGGACAGTCTTCTGCTACCTTGTGTCCACAATCAGGTAAAAAAATATTATTACATCTGTATCAAAGCAGGAAAAGCAGTATCTTAAGAAAGTAGTATTGCTGAATCTTATTTGTGCAGTCACGGAAATGGCTAAAAATTAGCATCACAGGTATTTAAAATTGCTTTGTTTTGAGGAAGGGGAAAGAAATCAACCCACTGCCTTTAGACATGTTTTCGAAGTTATCCCAGCATCAAAGAGTAAATGTCTCAATTTATGCAGGGAATAGCAAAATAGTCACAGCAGAATTTAAACATTCTTATGTTTTTCTATGAGAGCATCTCTAATGTGTGGCACTACAAGTCAGCAGAAGACCTCATAAAAGCCATTCCCACAACTGTATCTTTCACTTCACCATTGAGATTTTCCCCAGTAGAGCCAATTTCAGTGGACATTATAGAGAGCAGAAAAGCCAACCACACCAGCACTGGAGCAGAGCTGTCTTGCTCACTGTCAGTAATCATAAGCCACTGCAAACTTCTCCTCATTCCAGCTGGACTGTGAAAGACAGCTTGGGTGTAACACATTGCAATATTCAACTGTAGTTGAATATCCCTTCACTCTACATCTGAAACTTCTGAAATGCAAGAGGAAAACACTTTACCATGAAAAACTAGGAAACCTGAAAGCTCAGAATTAAAGAAATAGAAACAAAGATTTCCTTTCAGTGAAGTGTTTCACACAAAGCAGAATCTTGTCATTAGCAACCAAATTCCAAAATGATTATTTTTTGTCATTAATTCTTACTTATATAAAGGGTTTTAAAAATTATTTTTAAATTAGTCATGGCAAATATATTCATGTAAATATTTAAAGCCCATTATTCAATAAAAAGTTGTATAAGAAAGATCATGAATCACTTGAGGATAAGAGCTAGTATTTAACTGTATTAAAACTGCATCTATATACAGTTATATATACATCTAAATACAAATATTTGATTTTCTTGATTACACCCAGTCTCACACAGCTGCTGAATAAAGGGTCATTTAGAAAAGCTATGTGTTCCTGCAGTGTACAAAAATCACTGGCTGAAGTCACACAGGCATAAGAATTATTTATCACACTTCTTTTCTAATAAGACATATGTCAACAGGCAGGCAGTGCTGCAGCTGGAACACACTATTCACCAGGCAATCATCACCCTGTGAAACACCACTATCCAGTTCTCCCCAATCAGCATATATAAGTCTTGACACCACTGTATTTAAACCAAAAATAGCTGAATGATTATATTTGTGGAAAAATAGCATGGCTCAATTCCTTCTCAAGCCAAACTGAGTGGGAGTTTTACAACTCATCTCAGAAAAATAGAAATATATTCTTCAGGCGACAATACTGCAGTGGCCTTCTTTGTCAAAGAAATATTTCAACATTTTTATCAAACAGCAGTCTCCTTCTGCTTTTACTATTGGTGTCATGATTTTCAGTATTGCTTCCCTTCCCTGTTTGTATGTGATGAGGTTTAATTTAATTGGTAGAACATCTGCTTTTTAGCTGCACATAATTATCACAGATTCACATCTGGACTGTGGGAGGGGGTGTGGTTGGTGACCTCCCTGCTTTACCATGGGAGGCCACAGATGTGTAGTTTCCCGCCTCCCGAGTTGTCAGTTATCTGTTATCCCTTCCCCCTGTTCATGTCAATCATTTTGTACTCCTTCCCTTTATTCCAGAAAGTTCTAAGTTCTTTGTACCCCCATTGGTTCCTCCCCCAAAACCACTCCTTCCCTCTATCCCGGTTGGCCGTTGCCATGTCACTCTCCTTTGACTCCACCCTCAAGCCCTTACCCGGTTGGATGCTCTGTACCCGGACCCTCCTTCCCTGCTACTGTTATAAACCCTGCCCCGCCCCTGGTTCCGGGCTCTCAGAGCTGGCTACCCCTCTGAGTGGCTGTGTCCCTTTGCTACCCTCCTCACCTTCCCTTCCTGAAACCCTCAGAAATAAAGCCCTTTGAGAGACACCCGCCTGGTGGAAGACTCATCTCTTTCTACGAACATCGAGGCGTTCCTGAGGTCCCAGATCCCGCAGCAATCTGCAGCGATCTAGGAGACCTGGGAAACGACTCACTGGACATCTAAGACAAATTCATCTTAAAAAGAGATTAATAAGAAGTAATCAAGTATAACATTAAGTTTGACCACTGATGCATTAATTCACACAGCAGTTTCAATTCAGGGACTCT